ATAATTTGAAAGGAATTATTTACCACTAATTGCAATATCACTTGGTTCTCTCATATATTCACTGCAATCGAACCAGTTTAACAGCTCTCCTGTATCGCTGATTACAAACACCGTCGGTGATACGCTATCAACAGCCAAAATGTGGCCTTCGCTAGTCACAGCTAGGCCAGCTACAATATCGATGTAACGAATTGCGATTTTCTTGATAAAATGACCACTTTTTGTAAATATCTGCATCCTCGATCGTTCGTTCCCTCGATCACAAACAACAAATTTTCCACTGTTCTTCATCACGGCGATCTTTCTAGGGTACCATAATTGGCCCTCTTCCTTACCAGGAACACCAAATTGGAATTTGAATATGCCAGTCTTATCAAATATCTAAAAATAGATTTCGACTATTAATATGAGCAGAGAATTTAAACTGACTAATTGTCAAATATTGAAAAAAGTACCTGAATTCTGTGATTATTCGTGTCGGCAACAATAATATCTTCATCAGCACTTAAACAAAATCCGTGAGGTGAGCTGAATTGACCTTTACTGGGACCTAACTGTCCAAATTTACATCTAATTTGCATAGGAGTTAATTTCGTGTTATTCGAACGCGGATGAGTATAATTTCCAGAACCGGAACCAGTTACATTGCCAACTGTATTTCCTACTACTACAGGCATGTTATGCATGGAGTCTCCTCTTAAATCATCTGCAAGAAATATCGATATGTAATCAAATCGTTTTGACTTATTTGAAATATACAATAATCCAGAGAGATTTTACCAGCACCCTGTGAAAGTATGGTGGAAGTGGATGAAGATAATGATTGAAATCCTCCATTTAAAAGACTGTTAGCAGCTAGACTCAAATTTGGTGTGTCCACAATGGCTGGCGAAGGACCTCTCCCTAGTACTAAACCACTACCACCATTAATAGTAGGATTGCCGAGATCTGGAAATAAACAAAATGAAGTAAATGATTACACTACATTTGACGCACCATACACACGCACACGCACGCACGCACAATAATTCATATCAGTGACCCCATACCTTGATTACCAAGTGTGTTTCCTAATTTTGCAAGAGCTTGTAAATTATTGATTGCATGGCTGGTAGAACTCAGATCGCCGGCAAATAAATCTGCTAAAGTGAAAGACGGCGTTGGACTAGGATTCGAACTCGGCCCAACTACGTTCGTGTCTCCAACCATTTCGACTTTTTCCGCCAGACTAGCTAACTGTTGTAGATTATATTCTTGAATACTAGTAAGCCCATGAATAGGACCTGGAGGAAGAGATACAGAAGGTGGTGGAGGTGGAATACTTTGAGGGCTGGATGTTGGAGGTATAACAAATGAAGGGTCACCTTCGAAGGAGGATTGCATTGATGTAGGAAGGGAAATGGGAGACCTTGCACTAATAGAACGAGGACAGCCCATTGAAGTATGAACAACTTGTTGGTTCACAGAAACTCCTGACATAGTTGTAATTGGTTCTGGAGTAGATTTTGTTACTGGTGTGCTTTCCGTATGAAATTTACCAAAGACTTCCTACAATTATATATTTCATTAACGTATTTTTGTTCATTCAGATACAATTAAACATATGTAGTATAAACAAACCTTCAGTGCTTTTTCAAACTGGTTGTAGTCAGTTTGAAACTGAATAGAAAACGTAACATTTGGCTTTGGTGTGTTTTTTATTAAATTCATTAACTGTGTTCCTACGATACGACGAAGAGCAAGGATCTCCACAGCATCACCATGCTCAAGAAGTCTGGAGGTAAAACGACAAGCATCTTCTATCTTCTCCACTGTCTTTTCAACGCTGTAAACATGAACAATAATGTAGTAAATACATTTTAAAGATATAGACAATATTTGTTCCAAGTGAAGAATGTTCCTCTAACCTATGAAACGTGTCCATTATTTCTAATTCCCTATCTGAATGTAATTTTTCAAGCTCAACCAGGGCATTGTCTCGACATTTCTCTAAAACAGCCTTGTAACTCTGAAATGTCTCTACAATTAGATCTTTAGCTTGATCATGTTGTGCTTGTAGTTCACTAAGTGCATTTTCTAGTTGTGCAGATACTTGGTCACAGTCTGCTATTCTTGCTTTACTCTCATTCATCAATTTTATTAATTCTTCTTTCTGACGTGGTTCTGCATCCATTAGTCTTTCATACTGATGCTCTGGAGTTTTGTGTTCAATAAGCAAACACTCGTTGCATATAGGTTCCTAAATTGAACAATTAATAAAGTGGGTTTTATAATATTTGATCTTATACCAGTACTCTTACCAATAATAATACAATAAGAGGTTTAAGTCTATTCATAATCCATACTATGTATGGACTTTACAGTCCTCAATAAATTATCACAAAATCAAAGAATTTGGAGGCATGCTAATTACCTGGCAAGTGTAGCAGTAAAATTTCATATTTTCAGCAGGATGATATTCGCAAAAAATAGGTTTGTGTATTGGTATAGCTTCGTTGGATTGCTTTAAATCTTCAAAGGCCATGACCTTGTGACTTTCAAAACAACGCATGAACTGGTGTGCGGTGTTGCAATTCGGACATAAGAAGTTGGCACAGTCCGAGCAACGTGCAACCGCACTCTCTTTGGCTTTACACGAGGTACAGAGTACAGCCATGTTCTCAATCGCAGACATATCAAGTATATTCGTTAGAACATAATCGCATGTCAGTGACGCAGCACCCTTAGAACTAATGGAAGTTTCTTGTTGACAGAGCGGGCAGATTAGGACAGAGCTAACTTTAGAGTCACCTGCCTCGTCCATCAGAAGCTTATCCAGGCAAGCCTCGCAAAACACATGAAGACAAGAGAGCACTCGTGGAGAACAAAGTTTGCTCATGCAAATAGCACATTCCTGATCACCTGATTCACCTGAGCCACAGTTTATTTCTTCCAAGGCATCACCAGGATTGGAGGTTTCGCTGCAGCTGGTAACGGTGTTTATGTTTCGTTCAGTAAACACATTCCCATTCTCCACATCTTCGTTTTGACTGATAGCAGTTCCAGCTGGAACCGAAGCTGTTCCAGAAGGAACAGCCACCATAGACGATGCCATCTTTGTAAATCACTTCTTGTTTGTCTGCGAATATCTTCTCCTTTGTGGATAGTTTCTTTATTTCTTACAGACAGTCTTGCCGGGGTAACCGTGAGATCTAACGTTTAATGTTATTTAACTAAACATATCGTTCCAATGAACGAGACGAATAATTACGAGAAGAAAAAAAAGAAAAGCCACAAACCCCTTTTTCAGATCGTGAAACACGAGGGCCAAGACATCGTAGCATCGATCGTTTAATCAACGAAACAAAACACTGCTAGTCACGGTTGGCCACCACCAACGGGGATTTCTACTACCGTGTGTATAAAAATAATGCTTGTGGCGCACACTAATGAACGGAAAAAAGAGAAAGAGAAAAAATCAAATCAACGCAAGACGCTCGTTACGACGAACGAATTTTCGTCATGCAGCATTTCAAGCTCTGACATATTTCGTTTCCGTCTTTTTTTATTTTCCTTCTATCTCTCTCTCTTTCTCGTTTCCTCGTGTCTATCGAGATAAAAAAAATTCCTCTCCAAGTTTTACTTCTGTAGTCACACACACACACACGCGGTTAATTCGTTTCCCTTCCCTCTCTCTGCAAGAGCTTTGAATCTATTCTTCTTTCTATTTACATTTGTAACACTATTCTCTTCGTCACTGGTCTCGGAATGCTTACCAACTGAATTCGTATTAAATATTCGTTTTGAACAGGATCAACGTTCTGACTTGCGTATCGAATGTACTAAGAAACATTTTTATCGATCATCCACGAATCCCCTTTGAGTCGTTTACGATAGCGAAACGGCGATTGTTTCAATTTCAATTGTTATCCGACGCCTCAAACCGCGAATATTTCTGATTTTTTCATATGTAGAGCGGAGGAATAAATCATTCGAACCAAGAAGAGTTGACCCCAATGCAGGAGCCCTGCAAACAATTAATATAACGATGAGTGCACTTATAGACCCGTAACGCGGGACTTAGAAACTTCCCCAAGTTTCGTCGATGCAGCAAACCGGGCGACATCACGCGACTATGTCGAAAATTAGAGACGTTGTAAACTTTGAATGTCCTTATTGACCCAATTTTTCAATCTACAATGAGAACAATACAGGATACTTCAGGAATTATTAGACTGCGAATATTTATGCAAATTTGTATTTTTGTAAATATACTTTCGGTATAATCGGTAACGATTCCGCATAAAAAAAGCAAGTCAAACTATAGAATGTGCTTTTCATAAGATACTTCGTTTTCAAGAAAATTGAAATTAAAAATTGAAGAGAGAAATAGAAAATTAAATTAAAAAATTTATCTACCGTACCAGTCCAAACTTTATTTTCTTAAGAACGAGACCCTAAACAGAAAACTTTTATTCTATACATTTTTTACCTATTTGCGCATTATTTATCTGCTGATTGATGACGTACCTAACCAATAATTAGTTAAATTACTAACCAATTTTTTAAACTCGATTTTCACTAAAATTAAGCTTTGTATGAAAAAATGTTACTTTACGTTTTCGATTTATTTTTGCACATAGAATCACCTCTTAACCTTGCATGATTATCTTTCAGATCGAAACTCTTTAAGTATGACTCTTTTACAGTATAAAAAAAGTGATTAAATAACATTTTTTAAATTTCGCGCACTTCATACTATATTTTCATGAATATCGTATAGGATAAATATTCAGAATCATTTATTAATAATAAAATGATAACATCATTATTTAAAGGATTAAAGAATTATTTGGCGTAAATTACGCAACGTTAGATTCAGAACCTATAATTCTGTTATCATAGTAGGATTATCATCAGTGGTTTTCAATCAGCGACATTCGATATTTCATTACAACCTTGCCACGAAAAAAAGAAAAATATTACCAAACGTTCTGTTAGATTTTTTCCCTATCTTTACACAATTTACCAAAAACTATAATATTTAATAATCGTTTCAATAAAAAACAAACCCTTTTGCATATAAATTCCCTTTTACGGCTATTAAAGCAAAAATAAAATACAAATTATCGTTTATTAGAATATTTTCTCATTTTGGAGGATTCCGCATTTTGTATTGGGAATCACTGTGGTGTGGTTTTACTGTACGAGGTTCAAGGGGATCAGTAATCGGTATGTTACATTAATATCACACGTCAGAGAATGTACGAATAGAAATACAATTTCCTTAAAGGTCAATCAATTTTCCTCTTCAGGTAAAAAGGAGATCTATAAGAGGCTAAATCGAACCTAATATTTTTAAATACGTCTCAGTCGAATTGTCTTTCTTTATTATTTTAATCCGCTGCTATAACCGCGGGATCATTTAATAATTCAATTAATTTAATTAAGCGGGGCACTATTTTCCATTGCACGCCTCGTTTTCGGTATTGTTGCTTTTTGAAATACAGCTACAAACGGATATTTTTCTCCTATATAATTGAATTACTATTATTACTTAATTAAATTACCCACGGAGCGACGTTTTTCTTTCATTCTGTTCACTGAGAAATCAATGCACGTCGACTGAATTTGGTAAGGGAATTTCTCTTTTCTATTCACTTTTTTATATTACATCTCGTAATCAATGTTTTCCTTCATAAAGTTTTGCATTCTTTTCATTCCTAGGAATATGAGATGGCCAGGCTTATAGCGAATTTAATTATATATTTATGTCTGCTGTGTAGTATTATCAAAGCTAATGAGAGTGGTGATAGCAATGTTCAGGATACAGCGGCTAAGGTGGTTTATAAGACACCCGAAATTTCTGGATTCGCATATTTAGTAGAGACCTTCGACAACGAGGAGAAATTTAAGAAATCTTGGGTCTTGTCAGAAGCCAAGAAAGACTCTGTTGATGAAGATATAGCGAAATATGATGGTTATAACCTCTCGTTTCTAGTTTTACTCATATATGTCTTCAGTTTACAAAAGAGATCAATGCACACATCCATGTAAAAGATGATCAATTTTAAGATATTGTGCATGTATTTAAAAAATTAACATAAGTCAAAAAAATTTTTCAGGTGAAGCAAAAAATTATTTGTAATAAACATATAACATTGACAAAAAGGATAGACTCTAGGAAAGAATAGTCAAATATTATTTTCATGCTTTTTCTTGTTATTAATCCTTGAAATCTCCCTTTCATAGTTTTAATGTTACAATGCAGAAGTAAACTATTTTGAGTTGTGACACTTTTGAAATATATAAGTGATATCTACAGAATTTAAACCTGGTAATGAACTATTCTCTTAGATGGGTGTGTCATTATTTTACCTAATAAAATTACACTATAGTTATATATGTAGTAAGGAAAATGTTAGAATTAAGAGACAATTTTTGCTAGAAACCTTCAAAATCCAAGCTAGTGTAAAACATAACAAAGAAATTTGTTTCCTAGTTGTATTACTTTTCTGCTAAACTGATGATATATTTTGATTTTTATGACATGAGACTATAATCTACATTATTTTTGTAGGAATTTGGTCCATAGAAGAACCTAAAGAGCATGCGCAAGAGGGAGATCTGGGACTAGTCCTTAAGAGTAAAGCTAGACATGCTGCTATATCCACTACATTATCCAAACCATTTTACTTCGGTGATAATCCATTAATTGTACAATACGAAGTAAATTTTCAAGAAGGCCAAGAATGTAGTGGGGCTTATTTGAAATTGCTTACTCTGGATGCAGAGCATCAAGATTTAAAGAAATTCCATGATAAAACTCCCTATACTATAATGTTTGGTCCTGATAAATGTGGAAACAATCACAAGGTATATATATATAATAATAATATAAAGAATAATATAATAAAACAAATAAAACAACAAAAAATAAATAAAACAATTTTATTTTTACAAAACTGTTCCAAAATTAATTAGTTGCTTTCCTTTAATGCAGCTGCATTTTATCTTTCGACATAAAAATCCTCTCAATGGTTCGATAGAAGAAAAACACTGTAAGAAACCTAGAGAGCGCTTGGAAGATTTTTTCAAAGATAAGCAGTCTCACCTATATACTTTGATCATTCGTCCAGATAATAGTTTTGAAATCAAAGTCGATAATAAGGTAGTAAATTCTGGATCTTTGCTGGATGATTTCACTCCACCAGTCAATCCACCTTTGGAAATAGAAGATCCTACTGACGTTCAGCCAGAAGATTGGGATGACAAGGAAAAGATCCCTGACCTATCAGCTGTTAAACCAGACGATTGGGACGAAGATGCTCCAGCACAGATCGTCGATGAAGACGACATCATGCCTGAAGGATGGCTCGAAGACGAATCACCTATGATTCCCAATCCTGACTCTGTAAAACCTGAAGATTGGGATATTGAAATGGATGGAGAATGGGAACCTCCAGAAATTCCAAATCCAAAGTGTGCAGATGCACCAGGATGTGGACCATACAAGCAAAAGATGAAAAAGAATCCTCGATACAAGGGCAAATGGTCACCACCCTTAATTAACAATCCTAATTATAAAGGCAAATGGAAGCCAAAACTAATTCATAATCCTAATTACTTCAATGACCAACATCCATTCCGGATGATGCCTATTGTATGTTTCTATATATTATAATATTTTACAAAATTTTGTTTTGTTGTTTTGTTTTGTTGAACAGAATATGTTTCATATTTGGATTTCTAGTTTGCTGTGGGCTTTGAACTTTGGTCGATGTCTACGGACATTCTCTTTGATAATATTCTTGTTGCTGATGATGAAGAAGTAGCAAGAAAATGGGCGGAAGATACATTCGAAGTACGTCGGGCTAGAATCGAGAAGGAGAGTGTAAGCAATTCTTCTTTTCTATCCAAAGAAAAATAGCAATCCAACATTTACTTGAATTAAATTTATAAATTAATTTATTTTTTAAAAGAGGTATAAGTTTAATGAGATGTGCAATATAATCAATATAATCAATATACGCTGTACTATGCAGGTAACTTTATGGGGTCGCATATTAAAAGTAACAAATTATAAACCAGGCTGGTGGGTGTTGTATTTTATATACTGTGCAGTACCAGTTGTATTATATATTTGGTATCTTCTGAAACGAGTTCGTGAGGTATCTTTTGTAATTTCAAATGTGCAAATCGCTCTCATATCTGTAATATTGGTACCAAAGTATAGCAATATGATGACTAGACTTTTAGTAATAATGTGTCCACATAGATCGTTTACATATAGTATAAAAATTGTACACATTTCTCAGCTATAAATTATACAAAATAGTAGTGAAACACTTAAAGGAGAGATATAAATATTTAGAAGTTTATTAATTGATCATTAGTTTTTAAGTAAATTCAGTGTAAATTGTATGACTTGTAATTTTATGATTATTTTAAACAGTATAGTGTATGGCATCAGATTGGAGTATTTGCTGCGGAACATCGCTGGATATGCGGTACATGTATAATAATTCCTGGCTTCGCCATATTGCTAATAATATATTACTGCTGCTTAGCTTCTCAGGTATAAAAGAATCATCAAGCCTTATAAACTATTCTTTTCTAATATAGTAACTATATAAAACATATACAGTAGTTTTAATTTTATAGTTACCTTACGCACTTTGTAACGATAGTATTACGTTAATTGCAATAGTTTGCTAATATTAAATCTTGGTTTTTTAAAAATATTTGGAAGTAATTTTTCCTATTTTTATAAAAGATTCTCTATCTTTGTAAAGTAAGAAATTTATAAATTTTCTTTTAGGATAAATATGATGTAAAAGATGAAGATAAACAACCTTTAGAAGCAAATGAACAAACAGCACAGAAGCAAGAAGAAACAGAAAATCAGCTACCTAATACTGAAGCAGAGGAAGAAACTGAAAAGTTAAACGAAAATGAAGAAATAATAGAAAGTGAAGATAATGTTAGTAAAAATTTCTTCCATGTTATGTTATGTTTCTATGTTATGATAAAAATGATTTTTTGAAATTTATTTTAATTTTTAATTTGCTTTCAGGATAATCCAGCAATAGGTGGTGATGGACCACGACGAAGAAAACCAAACAAAGACTAGAATGAATTAAGATTATATGAAAGGAATTCGTACTACTAAGGTATTTATGCAACACTCACATTCCACTTGACACTTGCATTGTAAACGTTAGAATTTTTCTCAGTATCTAATTATATATTATAAAATGTCACTAGAAGCCAGATTTTTATCTAAAAATTAGATATTTTGTTCTCATGTGTAATTTTTCATTAAGTCATACTTTTTAAGCAAAATAATTTTCACATTGAAGCATGTTTCTCACGCGTATGAGTGATACAAGTACTTCAAAAAAAAAAAGAAAACAGTTTTGTAAGAATGATGTTTGATGTAATTATTTATGTCTTAATACTATGTAGCAATTTAATTTTTGTTATTGTATATTAAGAAAAAAAAGACGAATAATAGAATAGATTTATTCACAGTTTCTGCATAACAGAGCGGATGATGTGTCTTTTTTAGAAAGTTTGTTGCTTGTGTCCAATAATGTTTTACACACAATCCATATAGAATTTGTTATTTAATATGACCAGTTAATATTTTTCATAGGCATGTATTATATTATTCAATGTAACGATTTTTCTTAAATAATGTTTCATTCCTTTGCTATTATGTTAATAAAGTATGCAATGTGACTGAAATAATTTTATGTATTATATTATGTTGTATTATTTATAAGTGATAAGTCTGAAATTGTTTAAAAATAATCAAACAAATAGATTCTGAAAATCCTTTTCCTCCATGTTCACAACAAAAACAAAGTAAATTTCTATTTAAATTTACGAAAAAATCAACACTTTTTAAAACAATTCAACTAAATTATGCTATTATCTTTTTCATTAAAAAAGTAAAATTAAAAAGAAGATTACATTGATATAATATATTATATAATATTTACATTGATATAAGCAAATGTAAAATAGTTAAATTTTAGTTTTGGGAGACTCTGTTTCTGACCTTAAAAACAAAACATTGCGTTTTGTCATCTGCATATCTTATAATAGAAGTATAAAAAAAACAGTCTTATTTAAAAAGGTATGATTGTATACTATTAGAAGAATAGTTATTATAATACAATTTGCGGTGGATCATTAAAATAAAATTGTTTTTATTCGTAATACTTTCTTATGTTATATATCCTTTTTCTTTAAAATCGACATGCTTTGGTTCGAATACATATAAAAAAAAGAAATGTGAAATATACAATTCCCTATTAACAGTTTCCATCAGATCAAATTTTTTAGTTTATGTTACTATCTTATTTCTACCTTAATGTTATATAATCTAATAATATACATTTTAGGTACAGATTACAAATTTAAATAAGTGTTCAAAGGAATAAATTTAGGGACTAGTAGAAGGAATACTGGAATTCTGTGTACAAGACTTACAAGTAGGCACTGCACGTTGTGAATTATGTCCAGCAAGAACAGTGTGTGCACCCATGCATCTTGTGCATAATACCTCTCCACATGACCAACAGTGATGCTGAAAAAAAGAGGAAGGAAATATAATTCTAATTCTAAATTAAATCTTAAGTTATAATATACATTTACCTTTTTATTAAATGCGTCAAATGTAGTAGAACATGCACACTCTTCCATGTTACGGAATAACTTCCAGTCCAAGGAAACTGTTTTCAATTCGTTTTGTAACTGACTAATTTTTATCTTACACTTTGCTTTCTCTTCGTGAGTTGGTGTATTTTCTATGATGGTTTCAGATAATGGATCCATCGTGTATTTATTATCGAATTTTAGTTTCCCTTGTACTCCTTTTTTTTTAATGTTATTTAAATTCAATACTGAACTCAAAGAGTTAGCTCTCTGTTTAAAGTAACAAGCAACATTAAAAATCCAATAAATAAAAAAAATTGTCAAACAATATTTATACCTTTATGAGAAGCTTAACGTGATCTTCTAAACAACTGGTATGATCATGCATTATCGAAAGATAATCTTCGTACGTTTCTCTCGGATGAATACCATTCTCGAATCTAAAGTACAATCCTCGCCATAAACTAGAAAATTATTTTTTATGTAATTTGTAATTGTTGAATACGTTCACAAAATAAAATTATATATTACATAATACACTGTGGAGCCAATTTAGGTTGGAGAACAGGATTAGTTTCTTCATTGAAACGATTGCATTTGTATAAAGGATTTATATATTGGTGCATATTATTTGCAATGTATCCCCATAGAGAATATGTTCTTTCCGATACTCTAAAAATAATTAAAAATATAATAAATTACTTATGTAAGGATAAATTACTACTTGAAAATAATACCTGAGAATTTGTCTTTCTTTTTCTGAATTCCCTATAAAAGTACCATGTTGACAACTGTGTACATGATCATGAAGAGTTATCAAAAAAAATTCGTTAAATTGAAACTTATGGGGATACTGCTGCAACAGTTGATATGTTGCATCAACGAACTGAGTAAAAATTGGGGCTAATTCTTTGTTATCACAGTTAATGTGACCACATCGGTCACTAAACTTATGTCCAAACGATAACCAGTCTTTTTCTATCAATGCCTGAAAATGAAACAAAAATAATTAGTTCTGGTTTTGAAAAATTAAAAATTTATGATAATAATCATAACAATAATAATGTTCAATCACTTCTTACTTGAAAACCTTGAATTGTCCTGTAGAATGGATCCAGTAATAAAGCACTCAATGAACATACTTGAGCAGTGCGATCCCAACCATCACTACAATGCACTACTACGCTAACTCCATTTGAAACTGCTCTAGCAATAAACCAAGCAGTCTCTAAAATAGATCGTATATGTTTCAACCATCCACTGCTTTCCAAACCACTTAAAAATGCACTCATTGATGTCATCCTTTGTACTATACAATAATTAAAAACATGAAAATAATAAATATTCATAATTTGCGTAAAAAATCTACAATAAAAGACTCACATTCTATTAATTTGTTTAAGCTTGTTCTCATTACATGAATATTTTCAATACCAAAGAAGTGAAATTTTATGTTGTCATAAAAATTCTCGTTCTCATATCCTTTTCCTGTAGCTCTATTAGCAAAGGCATTGATCTAAATAAATATTAAAAAAGTATAACGTAACTGATCTCTATAATGGTATTATTGAAGACGGTTTACAATTATAAACATATTTTGGTGAACGTTTTATAGACTTACTCGTGGTCGCGTATCTACGACGTACATATATTTAGAATTAGGATTTGTTCGCAAAATGTTGTACATCATTTGTTCGTCCTCGGGACATCGTGCACTAAATCCCGATAAAGGTTGACTACATCTGCAGATAACAGCCTGTAAAATATTTTACATAGGACCTGCTTATTTTTTTCATATTTTATCTATTTCAATAACTACGCATACCTTGTTGGAATATAAATATGTTAAAACTGGCAATCTTCCTCTACTTCTAAACTTTGCACTGCCTATCAAGATACTGTTGGCACATGTACTAGGTACATACAAATATTTTGGATAAGTATCACAAAGCTAAAAGTTGAATTAATATGTTTAGAACATCAAAACCTCACAATGAATATTAAACTTTAAAACAAATATAAAATTTGTACCTCGTAATTTGTATTTAAATACGTTAGAGACCATTCTTCATTTGGAACACCTTGCCTTTGAAATTCACTTTGTACATTAAAAAAATTCCATCCTGCATGTTGAGGTAAAGTGTCTTTGTTCTCTTGATAATGAAAACAATAAAGATCATCTAAACTTACTAAAAACAAAACATACAATGTTAGAAACTGATTTTTTAAGCTTTACTTTGTATAGAACAATGTTTACCTGGACAAGACAATTTTGAGAGAGTAAGATATATATCATGGCAATCTCGTTCTTTTGGAATAACAAATGTTACAATGAAAAAGTGTTTACATTTAATACATAATGGGGAGCCTGTCGTAGTCAATGGCTGCTTCTCTATATTCGCAATGTGAGTATATAACACCTATGGTAAAAAGCTTTATAAAAATATTTATATTACTTGGGAATAAAGGTAAAACAAATGATCGTAATAAAATTATATTCATACCCAGATTTTCTTTTTTCCACTTCGTTCTGTAAATATAAGATGTGTTACAGTTAAATAAAGAGTACCAACAGAATGGTTGTTACTATATTTATCTAAAATCCTCACGTTCCCCACCTGGAATTATAAATTTTGCATATCATAATGACATTAGTCCAATTCTTTAAATTCTAGATATATATTTTATAAAGTACATATTTATTGAAAATAAATGCATACAATTTTCTACATTCATTCTAATACAATTATGTAAGGACAATTATTTTTTGTTGTTATTTTTTTTACAGACATCAATATGCAGTGAACGAAAAGACATATTGGTGAATGTCATATTGACAGATGTTCGTAATTGTGATTAAAAATTCATTCGAAACAGCTTTACGACAAATGAAAGGTGTTTATCACGATACCTTCGAGATTTTTATTTGATCCATTTCGTTCTGTTCGTTCACAGTTGTTTACACCTGATGAACCATTTGACGGGCTGTAAATTGGTTACCACTGACTTATCAGACAGTAACAGGGGTTCTCAACCTATTTTTATCGAATATGAAAAAGATATATTCCTCATTGCCTTGATATACGCAATTAATTACTGATTACACGAACGTAGCTTGTCGAATATTTAGATGAAAACATTGACATTCATTTTAGTTATCGACACATTTCTGTTTTTTAAGTTTCAAATTTCTTATGGGTTAGTCATAGATGGCAGCAGAAGAGTAAACATCACATCTTTCTATCTTTGACAGAAACCTTTAAATAAATAACATTATAACTAATTCGACACCTAGTCCATTTGATAAAAAACTACTCAATTCTCTACTATTTTAGGAAAAATTTATGTTTCCAGTGTATTAAGAAGTTTCTGTGATTAATCAAGTACCTATAGTTTAAAAAATTAACAATGAGTAACAAGACTGGTAATACAGGTAAATATCTTGCATATAATCACTTCTCGAGTGAAAGGTATTTGCTGTAATAGTTATGTTTTTTTAGGAGAAATAGATCCTATACAGGAGGAGCTAGCTGGTCGTGTGCGAGAAGTTGGAAACCATGCAATTTGGAGTCTCTCCAGTTGTAAGCCTGGCTTTGGCGTAGATCAGTTGCGCGATGATATAACAGAGACATATTGGCAGTCTGATGGACAACTTCCACATCTGGTAAACATTCAGTTCAAAAGGAAAACAACGATTCGTGATATATGTATATACACAGATTACAAGTTAGATGAAAGTTATACTCCCAGCAGGTGAGAAATGTTGTATATATCTTTTGTTACTTGAAAGTAATAAATGTTAGATAATTGTTAATGTTATAACATCATTTTTAGGATAAGTATTAGAGCAGGTACAAATTTTAATGATCTCCAAGAAATAGAAGTAATGGATTTGAATGAACCAAGTGGTTGGGTTATCATTCCCATAAAGGACATAAATGATAGACCTATTAGGACATTTATGATACAAATAGCAGTAATAAGCAACCATCAGAATGGACGAGACACGCACATGAGACAAATTAAAGTTTATAGTCCCACACAGGATGTTCTTGGACCACCTGCTCCCTACATTGCAGGTCACTTCCTTACCAACGAATTTTTGCGTTATGCTACAGTTAGATAAAGAAATAATCGTTGTGTAAGAAATTGTAATAACAAGGAATATTAATGAAATATTCATTAGAGTTCAGTTACAATGTAAAATTGTATGTTACACACATAATTCATATATATACGAATTTGAATTAATCCTGTTACCTGGAAGGGGAAAAAATGTAAACATGGAATGTAAAGACCACCTTTTCATCTATGAACTATTTCTAATTGTGAATCAACATTCTAAGTAACGAGTGTGGAAATATGATATTAAAGTTTTTCCTTATTTTAGTATTAATCAACACCGTGAAATGTCACGAATATACCGAAAAAAATTATGCATTAAATGCTGTACTTAAAGATACATCAAATTTCTTTGGAGAATTGAAGCTAGATTATGGTATGAAATTTTTAACGATAAAATGAAGTTAAATGTTATTTATATATTATATTTCGAAATCTAATTTTTAGCGTCGAAAAATTTAAATAATACATTAACTGAAATTAATACAAAAATTACGGAACACATTAAAAACACATCGAAAATAATTTCTATCCGCCATAAAAGAGAATTACAGGAGAATTCTGGAGAAGGTAAGTATTTATCAAAAATAATTGAAAAATAACAAGTATATTTTTTCTCTACAAATATATTTATTTGTTTAACAACATTGTTGAAGTCGTGGTAGATATCTACTGTTAATTATTCAAATTATTCATCAATTTATTTGTACAAGATTGTTAAAGTCATGACAGATATCTACTGTCAATCATTAATCATACTATCAATTTGCCAGTTCAGTACATTTAACTTCAACATCAAACAATTCCTGAAACACATGTTGAGATTTGTGTTCTATTAAATACTTTAATACTTGGTTCATATCATTATGACGTCCTGAAGTAGTAAAGAATATTTCTTGAAAATCTTTAAAT